TACGTTTAAGATGGGTGCATCAAAAATCCCGACCTCCGGGTTATTCTACTCTGCCGCGGATACAGGGGGAGATATAACATGGCGCTGGACATAGATGATCTTTGCAGGTATACTGTACCAAAATTTCAAAAAGGATTTCATATAGTCTACGCGTATGGTTCGTGGTTAGTATTTACCAGGTGAGAGACGAATTCTGCCCCTTTCATACGAACCCATGTGAGTTAAAACAACGTCAACAATCATAGGATGATAAAGAGATTAGTTAAATTTTTTAAATGACCTTAAAAGGACGATCAATGTTTGAGATTTCTTCGATTATGACATTGCCTTTTTGAAATGCAGGGCAAGATATAGCATGCTTTTCCAAATTTTCATAAGCTTTACGGAGCTTCTATAGAATTATGATGTGAGGAAAAAGACAGATCGGGCCAAGTAGTAGTTTGAAAATCGAGAATCTGCCACACCTGCTTTGGAGGGATTCGCACAGCACATTCAGCCACATAAGATGAGTTGGAACCCTGAAAAGAAATTATTTTCCAAAAAAAAAAGTATTCAGTTAGAAACTCTGAGATGTGAAAATAAAATAAAATTGAAGAAAAAATTCAGAAATGTAATTTCATTTTCAAAGTGTTAAGGCGTTCAATTCTAAAATGAGTTTCATATAATTTACTGTTTTCAGTTTCGTTGAGAATTTGGACAGAATTCAAGTATTTAGTTCTGCTCACCTCTGTTTCCGGTTTTAGTAAAAAAATGCTTGAGCCTAGAGCGCTGCCCACAAATGCATAAGGGCTAGTTGGATCGTGTTTGAATCTGAAAGAAGTGTATATTCAAATGAGTATTGTCAAAATGTGTTAAAAAACTAATTATGAACCTACCTCACTTCTAATGGAAGCGCTCCGTTGCCCATGGGTAGTTCAATAGTTTGCAGCTTCTCATGAGTAGACCATTTGAATACATGAAGAGAATGACCATAACTACCTAAATTACTGTTCACATATTCTATAAGTATCTACCCATCAGGCAAACTCCAACCTTCTACCACATGTTCCGGGTTAAAGCCTTTCTTGATCACATTTGGAGCTCCCCATTCCGATGAGATCATCACATCACGACGTGGTTGGTACCAGTAATCATAATTGAAGGGTAGGCTTTTCTCTTCTTGCAGCCAACAACCTTTTGGCTCAAATGTCTTACCATCAAGTAAGAGAAAGTTGCCTAAAAATTAGAGATGAGGCTTTAGCCAATTTGCTTTTTGAGCATTCGTTTCTGCAGCTAGTTTGGGTATTGGTCTTTACATAGATTTAAGTCTGTCAGGAAAAGACACAGGTACTTGGAATTTTACATCAACTCAAAAAGAATTTTATTGTAAAAGCTTCTGTTTCATTCAAGTATTACCGTAATTTTATGGTTCTTCAATAACTTGATATGTAACCTTTATTGTTGCCTTCCGCATCACCGAGAGTGCTGACCATGATGTTACCGTCAGCCAGACAATGAGAAGTATGTGGGAATGAAACATTGTATTTATGAAGTTCTTCTGGTTCGATCACCTAAAAGAGGATCCACAATGTGATTATATTCATACAAATTTTTTTTGGTAAAAACAAGGACGATGAAATTATCAAAATAGGCCTTCAACGCAGTAATAATCCAAAAATG